GGCCATTTTGGGTGTCCCGGCGGCCATTTTTTGTGTTCTGTGGCCATTTTGGGTGTCCCGGCGGCCATTTTTTGTGTTCCGGTGGCCATTTTGGGTGCCCGGCGGCCATTTTAGAACCGCCGAACAGCTGTTCCCCCATCGCAATGCAAGCATGTCCTCGCATAAGCGATGGGGAAATCCGCATCGCAATGCGGATTCATCGTTAAACAGTGCGCTCGTTATGAGAGGCACCACTGTATTCCTACGAAGCACTTTCAGCAACCAGGTGCCTCCTTTTCACTTGTTATCTTTTACGTGTAAATCTAAAAATGGTAATGTGTGAATGTGAAGGAGCGTTTGATGCAGGCCTCCTCATCAGAAGATCAGGGTCGGCGCCTGTTCTTGCTCAGTGCAAGCTTGGTAGCAACCCCAAGTCCGATGATGCCTTACAACACACGGCGCAGCCCTAGCTCCTTACTTGGATGCTGTCACAATGGAGGATAACTCTGGCAGGTCTTCAGGACTAAAACTCGGAGTGGTCTTGCCAGGACGAAGATAATGGTCCTGGAAAAGGTACTGGGCACTGTCTTTAGCCATAGGCAGCAAAGTGCTCAGCACCGGTGACCGTATATCCATGACACTTCGTATGGCTGGTTGCTTGGCATCCGTGCTCCTTTAAGAAAAAGTTTAAAACCCAATAAATAAGGAGGAGTAAAGGAAAAAAAATGCCAATAAACAGTGGAGACAGGAACCATCCTAAGAGGAATGGGAGCCAGATGGGGATAAAAGCAATCTTGTCACATTAAACCTTTCTTTCTTTCTTTCCTCCTAGGAGAACGTGCACAATTCATGGACATATATGAAATACGGGTAAAATTCAAACATTTAGATAATCAGACTATTTTTTGACCAAAAGTGGGTTACTTCAAAAAGGATATCTCAGCTATTTGCTAGATCGTCTCTTGTACATGTGGTATATATTAAATACACATATACATTTTTTAAAATAGAAAACCTTAGACAAGCTCTTGTGTATGTGTGTATGTGTGTGAGAGAGATGTGTCATCCAGCTGGAACAGACTTATAGCAACCCTAATAGGGCCTTCAACGTAACTGAGATATAAGTGGTTTGATCAGCTCCACCCTCCACCCTGAGTTTCCACGGCTAAACAGGGATTTGAACCTTGTTCTCCAGAGTCCTAGTCCATCACTCTATCCACTACACCACGCTGGGCGACCCATGACCATCATGGTCTCTCCTTCTAGTTCTTATACATGTTTTGCTTAAGAAAATAATAAAGGGAGAATGTAAAACAAATACCCACATACTTAGACAACAGCAGTAGAAGAAGACAGTTTAAAATGTGAATGGGGAAGCAGAAATGACACCTGTTCCATCATTTTCACCTGCTAGACTGTATATTTGTAAAGCAAGGAACAAACCCTGACTGCTCTTTATATACAACTTCCAACTTCAGCCCAGGTAATAGGGCTATGGACGGTGTGACCTTACTGGTGAAACTGGTGAAATCAATCTTATAATAAGAGTACAAATTATGTTCAACTCGTGCTAGCTTTTCTAGACTACAACAACAGAAAATTGTACCCATCCATGTATGATTCATGTGTATAAAATAGTTGTAGCGATCACCCTGCTTTGGCTCGGGTAAAAGATTATTGGCATGTACCAATGAGAGCTGTTGGGAGACAGAACCAGAGAAACTAGAAGGGAGGGGGTGAGTCAGAATCTGGGGAGTTCAGTCAGAGACAGAGAAGAAAGAGAGAGTTTGGAGTCTGAGGCAGAGAGAGTGTTTAAGTAGTGATTAGTCAAGAGTGTGGCCTGTATTAATTAAGATAGAAGAGGTTAAAGTAAAATACAGAAGCTTTGTCTAACTTTAAGAATGTGCTTAAGAGCTATTCCTGAAACAAATCAATAAACCTGTTTCTTAAGTTCAGTACTGAATGGACCTCAGTCTTTCAAAGGAAATATAGGCTTATAAAGAAATCAACCGGTGGCAGCATGTTAAAGGGCATGTTCGGATACCTTTGTGAGCTCTGTGTTTGGTGAAACAAGCCGGGGCCACAGGGTAAACATCACAATAGTATTCTGAGATATTACAGTATTTTTTCTGTTTATAAGACGCCCTTCTCCACTTTTCTAACCCCAAAATTAAGAAAACACAGCTTTGAGTATTCATCCTCTGGACTCAGAACACTCGGACATTAGGAGTCCCTGCTGAATCTAAGCACTGCCTACACCTACACTTCCAACAAGGTGTCTCCCAACTGGCTTGTTCAACATCAGCTAATGTCAGTTCCATAAGGCTCATGACTGGAGGAAGCTAAATCTCCTGACTGTAGGAAGCTAAGCCTTGTGATTGAAGGAAGCCTGTTTACAGAGGCAAGGTACAGGCCATTTTGTTCTCTTTGTGCTATCAGCTTACTTCCATGTATAAAATGCCCCTCAATTTTTAGTGTAATGAGTTTAGGAAAAAGTAGCATCTTATACACGGAAAAATACAGTATGTTTCAACCGAGCTAGGGTATCCTTATTCCTCTCCCCCATCACACAGGCGCTTTGGTAGAGTCAGAGTAGATGATTCTTGGTGTCCCTCCAATTTTATAATTCAGTGAGTCCACCAGCTGGGATACACAAGGTGGGTCCAAAGAGAGCAAATCAAGTCATACTTGCGGTAGGCGAAAGTGGTTTTCTTCACCTCCTTTCCAACAGCAATTTTTAAAAGCTCCTCCGGTTTGGTTTTCTCTCTCAGAGCTGGGTTGAATATGTTGGAGCGGAGTAATCTCCCAACTTCTTGCTGGATTTCCTTGAGGTTCTTCTGTCTGAATGTCACGAAAGCCACATAAGCAGCAAATCTGTACAAGCACTAAATGCAAAAAGGGGGCATCAGTGGTTTTGTTGCTATTATTGCTGTTGTCTCCTGAAAGGACCCTTCACAAACAAACAAACAAAAACAACAACAACCGTACATGAGTGCTGTCTCCTGAAAGGACCCTTCACAAACAAAGAAAACAACAGCAACCGTACATGAGTGTCTTGGATCGGTAAAAGGAAGGAAAGAGCCACAGGGATGAGAACCGGCACCTAAGACTGTTTCACATGCAACAGGAAAGCCAACATAATCCACAACGGCAACAAGAAACCCTTCCACAATCAATAATGCAAAGTGTTCTGAGGAAGAGAGGCCTTTGCAGTCTCAAATATGTCCATGAACCCAAAAACATACTGTGCAGTCCCACATGTGTGTGTTCCAGCTTACTATAGTATCTCACACTAGAGTAGGCCCACTGAATTAGTGGTGATTTGGTGAGTCAACTCCATTGATTCGAACGGGCCTACTCTAATTGTAATTTACTACACTAAGCAGCCGGACATAGTGGCATTGTACTCTAATTGTAATTTACTACACTAAGCAGTGGCGTTGCGGGTTAAACCGCAGGAGCCTCCGTGCTGCAAGGTCAGAAGACCAGCAGTTGTAAGATCAAACTCACATGATGGAGAGAGCTCCCGTTGCTTGTCCCAGCTCCTGCCAACCTAGCAGTTCGAAGGCATGTAACAATGCGAATAGTTAAATAGGTACCACCTTAGCAGAAAGAGGTCATGGCGTTCCATGTCTAGTTGTGCTGTCCCTGTGACCACAGAAACTTGTCTAAGGACAAACACTGGCTCTATGGCTTGGAAACAGGGATGAGCACCACCCCCTAGAGTTGGACACGACTGGGCTAAATGTCAAGGGGAACCTTTTACACTAAGCAACAGGATTTCAGCCATACTCCAGAAACATGACTTCTCGAAGCTCTAATGTTTGTTTGTACATATGCATGCAGATTTACTTTGCAGGACCCTTCATCTGGCTGGTCATTGCAGAGATAAAGAAAGTGTGTGCATGCTTGTGTGCAGCAGAAAGTTCCTCCAAACCACGGCCAGATTCCCTCCCCCTCCCCAGTGTCTCTAGTATCAGTTGTTGGAGAACATGAGATGAAGGGAGCCATTCCATTCATGTCCTGCTGATGAGCTTCCCGCAGGCAGTTCTGCTTGGCCACAGCATGAGCAGAAGGTTGGGCTCCATAGGCTTCCAGTCTGATCCAGCAGAGCTGTTCTGATATTTGTATCAATCTGAGCCCCTGTGACCTTTCCAGGCACCCTCTTACCTCAAAGAAGTCTCTGTCTTTCTGTGATGTTGATATTTTCCTCCTAAAATGAGAAAGAAGGAAAGACAGGTATTGATAACAGCAGAGGGTGGATCCGATTTATGTGAAAGACGGGGTTCTCTCCTTTATTAACAGCAGCGAGTTTCATGGCACCTTAAAAACTAACAAAATGCAGTCAATCTCTTTGTTGTTTTTTGCTGAAATGGACTAACACAGCTTCCCCTGCCCCCCCCCACGGTCAGGGAAGTCTCACATTATGCACTTGCCCTCTAGCATAGCCATGAAGCACACATACCATTGGTATACAGTATCTACAGGAAGAATGGGTATCTTGTGGGCATCCAGATGTTGTTGCAATGCAACTATCATCGTTAACATCTGGTGATCCCAATTAGAGCAGGTGGGAGTTGCAACTGCCAACCTATTCCTGAGTCCATTGTCTGGAAATAGGGTGCTGAACCTCCCTGTTTACTGTCCTCGTAGACTAGACCTGGTGACGTGGTAGCGCTGTGGGTTAAACCGCAGAAGCCTCTGTGCTGCAAGGTCAGAAGACCAGCCATCGTAAGATCGAATCCACATAATGGAGTGAGCCCCCATCACTTGTCCCAGCGAACCTAGCCATTCGAAAGCATGTAAAAATGGGAGTAGATAAATAGGTACCACCACGGTGGGAAGGTAACGGCGTTCTGTGTCTAGTCACGCTAGCCATGTGACCATGGAAACTGTCTACGGACAAACGCTGGCTCTACGGCTTGGAGATAGGGATGAGCACCACGCCCTGGAGTCGGACACGACTGGACTAAATGTCAAAGGGAACCTTTACCCTTTACCTAGACTAGACCTACTAATGTCATAAAATCACATCTTGCCACTGCACCCACAACAGCTTTCAGTTGTTTAAAAAAGCAGTTGAGTTTTTTATTTTTTAAAAAAGATAAAGAAATGGATGTATATTTTGAATGAACAAATGTGCCTATGGAATTTAAAAAGAAAAAAAGTGATCTTCCCAAAATATGGAAGAGAGGGAAAGTCTGCAAACAGTTTCAATGTCTAAGTTGCTGGAAAATACATATATCTGTCAAGTACGTTTGAGTGCCAACATGGTGTAGTAAATAGAGTGTTGGACAGACTTGAGAGTCCTGGGTTCAAATTCCTGCTCAGCCATGGACAATCACTAGGATATTGTAAGGCAAATCACACCTTGAACATCTCACAAGCCTCAAAACCCCTATTAGGGTCACTTTAAGTCAGAAAAAGCTTGAGAACATCTAACAACAATGTCGCATGCAGGAGGAAGAAAGCCGTGCCTTGCATATGGAAAACCTGGAGCAGGTCTCTTTTGTATATCTATCTGGAGACACTCTGACTTTTGCAGTCATGCTTTTTCACAGACTGGGAAAAAATTCCTTTCTTTGCACACTACATCTCCCATAGTTCGACCCCTGCCAACATGACTGGCATGATAGTGCAAGGGTTTTAGGAATTGCCATTTTAAAAAAGGGAACTTTTCTGACCTCTGGCATACAAACTTGAGCCTGCTCTAGAGTAATCCCCAATGGGTGCACAAAATGGGTGAGATTTGCATAGGCAAGGTTATTCCAGGGCAACGCCCCAGGATGGAAGTGGAATTCTGGAAACAGCACTCCCAAAAAAGTAACAGTTCTAAACTCCAGATTGTCACAAGATGCTTCATTCATGGATCAAACAGCTGTTAATGGCACAGGACTAAAGTCAGGTTAATTTTTCTGGTCAGTTGGCAATCCTAAATCCCCCCCCCCCCGTTTCACTGCCTTCCCAGTCACCAACTGAGGGCTTATTTGTGACCTAGATTGCCCTTGAAATTAATTTAGTTCAATTGCTGAGTTTTGCGTATGCATCTATGAGACCCAAACAACATGCAGCTTTCCTTTCCATATAAAAATGCCCCAGAGGAAACTGGCATTGTGAAGCGTTATGCAGTTTCCCTGAAACCTGGTGACGCCCACTTCCTTTCTCAGTGTCTGAAGCACAAACATCCAAGAAAGAAAGAAAGAAAGAAAGAAAGAAAGAAAGAAAGAAAAGAGAAAAGAGAAAAGAGAAAAGAGAAAAGAAAATAAAGAAATAACATGTCTAACAACCAATTATTTATGTGAAATATATATTAATCTGAAGGTCCTTCCATAATATCACAGGTTTTTTTTCAGTTTAAAAGATCTAGAACAACTACCATACTGCCCAGATACTAACCAATGTATAGCAGAATTCTGCATCAAAATTTGTAGGGTAGGGGAGATAAATCCCATCTTTTTACTACAATTCATACACTCTTAATTGTGAATTAAAAACACTTCACTACAGAAACAAATGCTGTTAAAGGGGAATCAATCTGTATCTAATGCTCACATGTCTAACCCTGGACAAAAAAATATTTGAAAAATATATTTTTAACATATCGTACTTTGCCTAAGAAAACACACTGGCTCCCTTCCTCGGACCCAGGCAGCCATGGGACGGCCTGTCTGAATGCACGGCTTTTGTTCTAACAGAGCGAGAGAGCCTTCCTTTCCTTGCAGCTGACAATACTTTTTAATTGGGGCTTTAGAAGCCACAAGCTCACAGGCCAAACGTACAATAGGAGCAAAGAAAAATAAATCACGAAACTGGCAGCAAGCAGGAAAAGAAAAAAGGAACAGTGAGACAATGATGAGATGATCACCCAGAGAAAGCTCCACATTTGGGGGGACGGAGTGTCACAATCCACAGAGAAAAATCCTCAACAACCTGCATGAATCCATGCAAATAACTAAAGGGACAGCGGGAACTTTGCCTAGACACCTCCGGTGCTGGGGTGGGAAGGAAGGATCCTGCCAATAGACGTGGCTCAGCAATAGAAAGGTCTGCAGTGCTCTGAGCAAACACAGAATAAGTTACATCTGACATTCCTGTGAATCACAGAGACTGTAAAGCAGGCTTGTCCAACCTGCAGCCTGAGGGCCGCATGCGGCCCAGGTTGGCTCATAATGCGGCCCAGTGCAATTTTTTATTTTTAAAGAAATTCCAAAGTTTCAAGTTACACTGCCGGCACTTGCGGCCGGAATGCGGCTGGGGCACGTCACAACGGTGGAGGGGAGAGGGAAGGAAATAAATCACGAAACTGGCAGCAAGCAGGAAAAGAAAAAAGGAACAGTGAGACAATGATGAGATGATCACCCAGAGAAAGTTCCATGTTTTTTTGGGGGGAAGAGTGTCACAATCCACAGAGAAAAATCCTCAAGCTGCAATCAATCCATGCAAATAACCAAGGGGACAGCGAGAACTTTGCCTAGATACCTGCAGTGGTAGGGTGGGAAGGAAGGATCCTGCCAAGAGACGTGGCTCAGCAATAGAAAAGTCTGCAGTGCTCTGAGCAAACAAAGAATAAGTTACGTCTGATATTCCTGTGAGTCGCAGAAACTGTAAAGAGTAACTAGGGTTTCACATATTCAACCAGGCATGTGGACTGCCTGCTTGAATGAACACACTGGACCCGACCATTGGTTCCTCCATCCCAGTACTGTCAACATGGACCATAATGACTCTCCAGGTGTTTAGGCAGGATTCTCTCCTAGCGCTACCTGGGGATTTCAGGTGTTCTCAGCGATCTCCCATCCACAGTCCTGCTTAAGTCCTGAACTCAGATTGGGATCTGTATATTTAAGGTTGTATGGTCGAGATTCCTTCCAAACTCCAAGAACCACACCCCCATCCACCCATATGTTAGAATGGAAACTTCTTCCTAGTTCAGATGGGGATTTAAACTTATCTGTGGGGATGTTTTCACATTGAAGAGACATCACTGAGGGCCTTATTCTACAATTCTATGGCTGCAAGTATTTTAAAGATACTTTTTAAGATACTTTTTAAAATACTTCCCAAGATTGGATGTCCACCTCAACTCCTTAATATCATCAGGTCCTTTCATGAGGAAATGAAGGGCATTGCAGTTTTTGATGGCTCAACATCAGATCCCTTTGACATCCGAAGCGGAGTAAAACAAGGCTGTGTCCTTGCGCCGACCCTGTTTGGGATCTTCTTTGCTGTAGCAGGCCTTTGGAACTGCAACAGAAGGTGTCTATCTCCGGATTAGATCAGATGGAAAGCTCTTTAATCTCACTAGATTGAGAGCAAAGACCAAAGTCCAACTGAAATGCATGCGGGATTTCCTCTTTGCCGATGATGCAGCCATTGTTGCCCACTCTGCTAAAGACCTCCAACAACTCATACATCGTTTTAGCAAGGCCTGCCAAGACTTTGGACTAACTATCAGCCTGAAGAAAACACAAGTCATGTGCCAGGGTGTGGAC